ATGAGTAATGAGTACCGTCTCCTTTTTGGAAGTCAATGATAAAATAATGTCGCTCCAGCATTTGTTCAGATGTAAATATACGTATCTATTTTAAGTCAATCTTGTGTTTCTCAGACAAATTAATGTTTTATTCTTATGAGAAATAAATTTCTTAAACCAGAAATCATATTATGTAAAATTCAATGAGTTAAAACATAAACAATACAATTTTAATCTAAATGTGACAAACATAAATGTACACGCCCCTAGTTGCCCCGACAAAGATCGACCATACAGGGGCCCATACAGCTGTAGATACGACGGACAACTAAGGGTGGGGCCCAACGGCCTATGGAGACTTATTATTCTACACAATAGATATAAGACTAGGAAACTAAATAGTACGTACCTGGTTCCGAAGCGAAGACTGGTCACAAGGCTCGGTCAGGCGGTAGGTGTAGTGTATGTAAGTGGTGTTTAGTGGTATGTAAAATGTGAAACCTGACTTAACCCTTTTAATCGGCAGCAGCCCTGACTCCGGCACCGCCACCCGGTGTGGTATCCTCCAGCGACGTCACCTCGATTTCACTCAAAGTCTAGCGTCCCTTAGCACAAATCTATAATCTAATACGAACGCTGTTTCTCGCGGGTCACAAAGTTTAGCGTTTTTAACCGACACAGGAAAATATCTCCGAGTTACATCAAATACCACAAAGCAACTCGTCGACGCAAATTAATATTGTCAAGCACTTCAACCGGCAATCACTATACAATTTACGTAAATTACTTGCCAACGAATTTAGGTTAATCAATCAAAATATTACTGCTTCGTTATCGCGTGAACGCACTAAGGATAACCAAAACTAGAAGCGAAAAACTCCAATAGTAAATTCTATACGTCCTTTCGACCGACAGTTGTTCACACTATTCCAGTCTATCAACTTTATTGTACATATAATTAACTTCAAAGTCAACCAATTCAACGTTCATCGAAATCAAACACGTGACTTACGGCACAATTGCAACGAAATTACTCTAATCACTCAAATTCAATACAAGCCTCTTGTCACGAACATACAAGTTAGACACACTAATTCGAGGCGGTCTGCACGAAACCTAAATTCAATAGTAAATTGACGCGCACAAATACTCAAATTCTAGACCACAAAACCAAAACCTGGACGCGCGAAACCGATGCAGCGGTCACCAAAATACGCTAATCGACCGCGTCGCTGCTGTCAAGCCACTGTCTTCGCACTCGCGTCCGGCACTCGTGCCATCTGCCGAGCGACCCACACGGGAGTGGGGCGATGGTGACCTTTACAAAGTCAGCGAAGGACACGAGTGTTGAATGCAAATTTCAAAGTTAATTATTTGACCTAAACAATAAATTAAGTACAAAAATCCACGACTTTTTCTGCCACCAGGGCGGTGCCACTTAAATGTGAGGTTATAATATTTGACAGATTTTACAGCGGGGAAGTTAATTTGTTCGGAAAATGTAAAGTTTGATGTTTCTTTCTGTACTATTAACTATATTTGATATTAATAAGATTTAAAATAAATAAACCAAATCAAAACAATTCATAAAGTTGAAAAATTTAAAATGTGCAAAGAATTAAAGAGTAAACCAGGCATTAGGCATTGTTTTGTGTATTAATATAATACTCTAGAAAATGATAAACTTTTATTTAAGACTAACTTCTCAATTAAATGACATTGTGTAACAAAAAACTTTACCTCAGTGTCAACTAGCGACATCTGGTGAGCAGAAAATTATTAGCCCTCAATTATTAGTATAACTATTGACGAGGATTTGGACTGAACAATACATATAGACCATTTGTGTAACAGAATTAACCAGTTTGCATATATGCTCTTAAACGTGTTAGGAATGTAACCGACAACAAGACCGTTATCATATTTTATAACGCTTACATAGAATCGATATTGCGCTACGGCATCCTATTATAGAGCAACAGTACGAACAATAATTAAAAATTAAAAATTTTGTACAACCCACTTCAATATAAACTATTAAGAATAATTAAAAAACTATTGGACCTCGATTAAATTTATATGGGACCACATGTGAAGCACCAGCTTTTAAATAAAAAAAGAATCATCGAAATCGGTTCAGGTAGACCAAAGTTATGAGGTAACACTTAAAAAAATTCAGTCGAATTGAATACCTTCACGTTTTGTCGATAGAAAAATGCATTAGCCTATCTCTGTCAAACTTGTACCAGCTCATAATACCGTGTTTCTAAACAAATAAAGTAATTATTATTATTATGTATTTCTATATCTTTATTTTTTCAAACCTCGTGGTCGTTATTAATGCTAATTACGGGTGTTCATTTAGTAAAAAGTAAAAACCATATAAAATTTCATTAAGTATCGTGTTCTGGGATATTGGACGTAACTTCGTTTTCATCTATTTGTAAAAATTTTCTCACGATACGGCACGTACTTAATATGGCGACCTCTATGGGTCGAAGCAGCTGTGTGCAGCTAGTTACTTGCTGTTACCTATAGCGGCACGAGCCAGATTCAATGTTAAGGGCGGAGAACTGCTTGTCCTTCGAAGGCTTCGTGCGCTTCCTCACCGACAAAGACAACTACGCGTTCGTTCCGAAACAGAGAAGACAGCAAGTCAACAGCTTCGTTGGGTAAGTAGGTTCAGTACCAATTTGATGTTCCGCGACATATTGTCGCTGCAACTACTAAATCCGACATTTTTTTTTTATGTGAAAGGTGTATATCCGCTCCTCGGCAGTAAAGGCAGTTTTTAACGTAGTAGAGACATGCTGCAGCTATATTAGTGGTATAGTTGTAGCACGAATGTGTCGGCTCGACCGGGGAAGGACCACGCTCTCACAGAACACCAGCGTAAAATAGCAGCTTAACACTGCTGTTTTTTACTTCAGAAAACTCTACATTGAATTTTACTTCAGAAAACTACATTAAAATTATCAAATTAAATTTAAATAAAGTTATAATTTGTAAATTGTATGTGGATTGATTATCTTTGCATCGAATGATGACGCAAGCCAAAGTGAAAAAGCAAGCCGTGGCGACCAGCGGCGGCGTATATCAAACACGCCGTGAACACCTTACGTAACACGCTGTCTGTCATGAGTGGGACACTCTTTCGTTTCGTTCGTTTTACTTCGACCGTTTGTTATAATTATGCACAAACACTAATTCATTACTGTGTCTACTTGACGACTACGAAGATATTGTACGCTTTTACCTCTATACACTTGCGAAACCGGATTATATTATATAGTTTGAACGCACGCGTTGCAGAACAAGGCTGCGACTATTCGCATCGGTATCACATGTTTCTTTTGAAATACGGACTGACATCTTAAACGTACCAGAGAGATAAAAGTCTAACGGTGTGAGAACAGGTGATTGCGTCGGCCAGTTGACCGGTCCACCACGGCCAATCCATCTTTCACCGAATTATCCGAGACATTTTTTAAATTATAATGTTAAAATATTGCTCGTTTGTTGTTTGAGTCAGACATCGGATACAAATCACTCACGGTAGTTACTTAATTTGGTAATGTAAAAAGTCAATATTTCCGGAAGTAGAGTAATTTCGTGAGAGATAAATCATTTTGCAGTTGTATGCGCCCGTGCAATACTGGTTGCTGGTTGATGTTTCCGAACATTCGATTTATTGTTGTGTGCGTGGCAAAGCGACTGTAGTCTACAACATAATTCTGATATTTTCTGAATCAACGGAATTTGTTATGACTTTTGTATTTTTTTATCTACTTTTTTTTCTATTAGCAGTTATATTATTTTTGTAGCACGAATGGGTCGGCTCGACCAGTGTAGAGAACCACGCTCTCACAGAATACCAACGTGAAATAGCAGCTCAATGCTGGTGAGTTTCATTTTTGCTTTTTTTTTTTTGGTAATATCTAAACTCATTGACTAGTGGTCGACTTGACTAAAGACTGCCTTGTTGATCATAATTGTGAGATCATGAATCTCAGATCGTGCCAAAATCAGTTTTTTGGGATCTCAAGATATTCTCATCAGCAGCCCGAAGTCGGGAAGTTGGCATTTTCACTTGCCTCGGAAAGCACGTTAAACCGTTGGTCCTGCGCCTGATTTCTCTCAGGTCGTGTCGGTATACCGTCCCATCGGACTATGAGAGTGAGGCAATAGAGAGTGCACCTGTGCTTGCGCACACACTAGTGCACCATAATCCTGTCCTGCGCTGATGATAAGTCTCCGTTGAGACGGGCCACCGTGGCCGAAATTAGATCTGGATGACATTATTATTATTATCTAAAAAGTTTTCTTTCTTTCTTAAGGAACCCATCCGCCCAAGAAGACGGCGATGAGAACAAAGACCTCTCCCGGCACATGGAGGGTCCCCTCAGCCAGTACTACATCGCCAGCAGCCACAACACCTACCTGACCGGACACCAACTGAAGGGGGAGTCCTCTGTGGAACTCTATAGTCAGGTAAGTGACCAGATAAGTCTTGATTCCCTTTTTATATTGTAGAAGCAAGAGAGAACTACCACACACACAATACACCTGAAGGAAAGTGTACACGGCATAATATACGTGGTAGAGCCATGCTGCCGCTATATTATGGTTGTAGAACGAATGGGTCGGCTCAAAGGACCACGCTCTCACAGAATACCAGAGTGAAATAGCAGCTTAATACTGCTGTGTTTTTTATAGTGTGTGAGAGTAGAGAACCGGAGACCCTTTTTACTGGAAACGAGTCATTCTATCTCATTCCTCATGGGTGACAACGCATCTGCATTTTACCATTTTATTTCTAAAGTGAGGATTATTTAAAGTGTTGCCGCATATATCGATAAAAATAAAAATACAAAATTTTCGAATACATTTTATTTTACGTTACTTTAAAACCTTATGACATAACTTATAAGATAGCTTTTCGCCTGTTCATGACACATTCTTTACCGGACTTAAATCAACCACTGCTAGATATACGATAATAGCTCTTAAAACGTAGGCGCTTAGTGCGTATTTCGCCTATACCAGAATCTTGCCCTGTAGTCATCGCTGCAAGTTAAGAAAGCCGGTGCCGTGCCGGAGTGAACAATATACCTGAAAAAAAATATACAAAATTTATATCTTTATATGTGGTAGAGCCACGCTGCAGCTATATTATGGTTGTAACACCTAGAAAACCAGAGACCCTTATCACTGGAAACGAGGCATTCCATCTTAGTCCTCAGGGGTGACAACGCATCTGATTCTTATTCCAGGATAGCTGTAGAATTGGACTGTTTGCTTGCTTGTCACCCTCATTTTATAATAAAAAAAACTTCTGTACCCACCTGACGGCTCCGTTGTGTCCCAGCGACATCAGTTGGCAACGACTGGCACTTCGCGAGTGCCAAGTGCAAAGCGAAGTGGTCGCCTCATCTGGGAACAGCACGTAGTCCTCCGTATGGTTGAGGATCGCTTGTGCGTGATGCTCCTGTCTCCCTGCGAAAGTGAAATTTGACTGTAACTTCGAACCTTAGGCCTCGGTCATATCATCACATCATAATCATAAACAATCACGCCTGTCACCCAGAGGGGTGGGCAGAGACTACGGACTTCCATTCGGCACGATCCTGTCACATCTCCCTCGCCTCCTTAATATATAAAAATTTATATTTGTGTGTTCGTATTTTATGCGATGTCATACCGTTCATTAGATTGCGGTAAAACTTTGTCGACATATTATAGGCATAGTTGGACCCGGTAGGTGGCGCTTTTGTAGAATCCAGATATCACCAGTGCGAAGCCGGAGCGAATCGCTAGTAGATCATATAAAAAAAATAATGGGTAGTGACTTGAACTAGTGAAACAGTCTAGTGCTAAGTTTATTTGTATTATTATTGTCCCTATCGAAAAAGGTAAGGTTTTGCTGACCTGTAGTCCCGGCGCCAGTGTACTGGATGAGGCACCTACTGCTTGCCAGTTCCCATAGCTTGATCGACGAGTCCAAACCAGACGTTAACAGGTACTGAAAGGGGAATTCTATGTATTAACTAGCTGACCCGGCAAACGTTGTTTTGCCATATACATTAAAAATTGCGATTAAAAAACAGGGGTTGATCGTAGAAGGGTAAAAATTTTGAGTTTTATGTATCTTTCAATGCTGTATCATAATAAAATAAAAATAAATAATTTTGTAAAAAAAATTATTTAGGGGTGGGTTACCCTTATCATTTAGGGGTTTGAAAAATATAAGTTGGTCGATTCTCAGACCTACCCGATATGCACACAAAATTTCATACAAATCGGTTCAGCCGTTTCGGAGGAGTTTGGTTACAAACATCGCGACGCGAGAATTTTATATATTAGATTAGAGAGGAGGATTGCGGAAGCCCGTCTGGCTACATTGAACGTATGTGGAGGAATGAATGATAAGATGGATGAAGTATGCGATATGATGTATGATAGAGGAATAGACGTGTTATGTGTGAATGAGACGAAACGGAAGGGAAAGGATGCCACTACACATGGCATGTATACCGCGTACTGGTCTGGTGTAGACGAGACCGAGCGGGCATGCCAGGGAGTCGGTATCATCCTTTCAGAAAGAATGGGTCAGTGTGTAAAAGAGTATGAATGTGTAAGCCCGAGACTGCTATGGATACGAATGAAAGTGGGCTTAAAGAAGTTGTTTGTTTTAGGGGTCTACGCCCCAGACATGTCTAAGCCCACTTATATCCGAGAGCAGTTTTGGGAGTTGGTAAGGATGGTGCTAATGAAATGCAAGGTTAATGAAAATATTGTGATATTAGGCGATTTTAATGGAAGGGTTGGGGTGAGGAGGCTTGGTTATGAAAGGATATTGGGAACGTTTGGTGATGAAAGTATAAATGAGAATGGTGAAAGCCTTCTCGCCGTATGCGTGGAAAAGAATCTTGTTGTGACGAACACTTTGTTTCGTCATAGGAAGATTCACACGTATACATGGGAAAGAGGTGATGATAGAAGTATGATAGATTTCATAATTGTTGATGAAAGAATGAGGAGCGCGGTGGTAGATACAAGGGTTTACCGGGGCTCTAACGTAGGGACGGATCATTACTTGGTCTTATGCCGAATTAATGGTCTTTTCAGACGTTGGAGGCATCGGACATCTGTGTCTACCACAGCGTTACAGCGTATAAAAACAGAGAGGCTACAAGATGAAGGTGTGAAAGAGAAGTTCAAATGTAGATTGAGAGAAAATATAAGTGGTATGGCTGAATTGTGTATGAATGATTTAGACTTGGAGACTGTGTGGTATAATGTCAAGAAAGGTTTAGTGGATGCAGCTACCGAAGTATGTGGTGTAAGCAAGAGAACAAATGAAAGGAAAAATAACACGTTATGGTGGGATGATGAGGTACGGATGGAAGTTGAAGCAAAGAAGAAAGCATGGCTAGATTTACTAGCAACCAAGGCTAGTAATTCTAGCAGTATGAATGATGATATTGAAAGGAAAAAGGCGGTTTTTAGACACCTAAATAAGAGAGTAAAAGAAATAGTTGAAAGGAAAAAGCAAGAAAGAACGGATAAGAATGATAGAAGAATATCGGATAACTTCCAGGAAAACATTAAAATGTTCTGGAAACTCGTAAGAACTACCAGGGGACATTCACAACAGCCTAGAATGAATGCTATACGAGACCAGAATGGCTGTATTCTGAATGACGAAGTTTTGAGTTTAAGGAGATGGAAGGAATACTTTGAAAGCGTGTTTATGAGTGATGAGACGTTTGAATTAAATGAAATAGAAATTCCGAAAGAAGAGGAAATAGATAGAGATATAAGTATAGATGAAATAATGAAAGCAATGAAAAGTATGAAAGTAGGTAAGGCAGCTGGTTATGATAGAGTATCTCTCGAAATGCTAAGGGCTGGAGAAGGAGTGGTGGCAGACCTGCTGTACACCTTGTTTAATTTATGTTGGGAACTTAAGCGGGTACCGGGAGACTGGTGCAAAGCCGTGATAGTCCCAATATATAAGGGAAAAGGATCACAGCAGGACTGTAAAAACTACCGTGGTATCAGCCTTCTTAGCATTGTGGGAAAACTGTATGCTAAGGTACTAATTGAAAGAGTTATGAAAGAAACTGACGGAAAAATTTGGGATGTGCAAGCGGGATTTAGAAAGGGAATGGGATGTACGGATCAGGTCTTTTCCATGCGCATGATCGCCGAGAAGTTTTTGGCCAAAAACCAAAAAGTTTTTTGTGCGTTCATGGACTTGGAGAAGGCTTATGACAGAGTGGACAGGGATGTGTTATGGCAAACACTGAACTCATTTGGGTTGAGCGCTGGTCTGATACAGGCATTGAAGTCTCTATATAGGGACTCTAGTGCTTGTGTCAGGATCAACGGGGCCTACTCGGACTGGTTTGACATCCATAAAGGTGTCAGACAGGGCTGTGTAGCTTCCCCGTGGTTGTTCAACCTGTTTATGGACAGTTGTTTGGAAAATTTGAAAGTAGAAGAATGCGGGTTAAGAATGGGTGAGTTAACCGTCAAATGCCTTTTGTACGCCGATGATCAAGTCATACTTGCGTCGTCGGCAGCCGAGTTGCAAATGATGGTTACATTAATGAACAGGACATTAAAAGAAAAGGGAATGAAAGTGAACGCAAGTAAGACGAAAGTTATGGTTTTTGAAAGAGAAGAAAGTAAAACGATATGTGAAATAAGAATAGAAGGGGAGTTGGTAGAGCAAGTAGATGAGTTTGTATATTTGGGATGTGTGTTTAGCAGGGATGGTAGATATGATAAGGATATAGAACGACGAGTGAATGCAGGAAATAGAGTGAATGGGGCTCTACACTCTATTGTGAAAAGTCAGAATGTGTCCAAAAAGGCACGTATGGCAATTCACAATGCTGTGTTAGTACCTACTTTAATGTATGGTAGTGAAAGTTGGGTGTGGCAGAAGAAGCATGAGAGTAGAATAAATGCTGTAGAAATGCGGTCATTAAGGAGTATGTTAGGGATGAAGCTGAATGACAGAGTGAGAAATTGTTTAATAAGAGAAGAGTGTGGTTTGCAAGATGATGTTGTGACCAGGATTAAGAAAGGAATGCTTCGGTGGTTTGGCCATGTAGAAAGAATGAATGAGGAAAGAGTGACAAAGCAAATTTATGTTGCAGAGGTGAACGGCATAGTCGGGAAGGGTCGCCCTAGGCGAAAGTTTATCGACCAAATTGGCGATATATTAAAAATGGGCCAAATCAAGAGTACCTTTAACCGACGAGCGTGTATGCGTAGGTATATGGATGTGGAGGAAGCGAGAGAGGTGTGTCAGGATCGTGCCAAATGGAAGTCCATAATCTCTGCCTACCCCTCTGGGTGACAGGCGTGAGTGTTTATATTATGTAGATTAGAGAAAACTTTGTACCTATTCTTAAGCATATTCCATGCATGATGGAGGTTTGTGAGATTTGGGCATAGTTAAAGTTTATATATTTTTACCGTGTAGTGGCGGTGTAAGCATACCCACTACCCCATATCATTTCCGATTCCGTGTCGAGCGCTGGCGCAAACCGGTTGTTTTGTTTTACTCCGCTAATAAGTATACTTGTGTCCGTGTGGCGTACTTTACGTGTTGTCGCTAAGCGCGAACATCCGACTGCGAGTGCATCGTGCACAGATTAGCTTGTATTCAGAGAGCTCGACCATTATGACGAACACTACAAACAGTACCTTTATTCATGAAGTGGAACATACACCGAGGTCACGTGAAATGAGTATAGATGGATCGCTTATTGATAAGGAATCCCCACCACCCTACATTACGTTTCGTAAAGGAGTATCCTAGCCAAGAGATCGATATCTGCCATGAATTTAAGTCCTTCCAAGAAAATATGCTGTCCATGCTGGAGACATGGTTTACTAAGCAAGATGACAAATTCACCAAATTGCTCAATGAGTTTGTGAGTGTGAAGACATCCATTAAATATATTAGCGATAAATACGACGATCTCGAAAAATGTACGCATGAAGTTAAGAGTCGAGTAGAAATAATTGAAAAGAGCGTCCAAACAAATGAACCACGTATTGCTTACATGGAGGCGAAACTAGACTACATTGAACAGAGAGCGCGGAATTGTAATGTAGAAATAAGTAATCTTCCAGAGAAACGTGGAGAGAACCTTATGTCTATCATTGAAAATATCGCAAATGTAATAAAACAACCTGTATCTGCACGTGATATCATCTCCATTCATCGTGTCCCCCAGAGTAACCCAAATAGCTCACGACCGAAGAATTTAATAGTGAAATTTGCCAGCCAAATTACTAGAGACAACTTCATCTCGGCAGTGCGTTTGAACAAAGGTGTAACATCTGATCAGATTAACATACAAGGTTCTCCTCAAAAAGTTTATGTAAATGAACATCTAACACTACAATCTAAGAAGTTATTTCGACAAGTTCGGGATATTGCCAAACAGAATAGATATAGATTCGTTTGGATCAAGCACGGTGTTATACTTGCTCGAGCTGATGTTTCCACGCCTGCGATTGCTATTCGCTCAGAAAAGGACATTTCGAAACTTATACCATATATACCATATTTCGCTAAACAATAATTACGTATATGTAATTATTTTAAGTGTGTTCTCTAATAGTTGTATAAGTAAAGTTATCGTGAATTACGTAATACATTATAATAATTTGAACTCATTACTGACGTTATGTATGCGGGCTCTGATCTGTACACTACACTGTGTGTTTACGACAAGGTATGCGTTGATCACTCATTATTACAAACTTTTTAGCATAATGATCATAATATTTGCTATCGTTATATTTAATCCACAATGTTTATTTGCACATGTATTACCAAGTAATGAAAATTATTTTCCATATACTGCGAGTATTCAAGTGATTGGTTTTGTTGGTTATGTAAGCATTATTAATTTTCACAAGCTCATTTTATCGAACTTAATATGTGCTGGCCTAATAATTATTAATGTAAATGAT